AAAAAGGGCAGCGACGAATTAATATTTTTCCAAATTTGGCACGTAATGGGGGGGTGTTTTGTGTTATGCATGACTTTAGACCTAAATTTGTTTTCGTCTATCTCGAAACTATTCGTCTGATTCAGAGTTTTGGTTGCACCATTGATTTCTCTTAAGTGCTTCTACCTATTACTTAACAATTTCAAAAAGGCCAGCGACGAAATTAATATTTTTCTAAATTTAGGCACGTAATGAGGGATGTTTTGTGTTTGATTGAACTTTAGACCTAAATTTGTTTCTCGTTCGTATCTCGCGAAACTAATCGTCGGATTCGAGTTTGGTTTGCACCATTGAATTTCTACTTAAAATGTCTACCTATACCCCAACATTTCAAAGGCAGCGACGAAATTAATATTTTTTCCAAAATTTGGCGCGTAATGGGGGGTTTTGTACTTGATCACTTTAGGCCTAAATTTCTTTCTCGTCTATCTCAGAAATATTCGTCTTGATTCGAGTTTGGTTGCAACCATTGAATTTCTCTTAAAGTTTTCTACCTGATGACCAACCAATTTCAAAAGGCAGCGACGAAATTAATTTTTCCAAATTTGGCGCCGTAATGGGGGGTGTTTTGGTTTTGCATGAATTTAGACCTAAATTTGTGTCGTCATCTCGGAAACTATTCGTCAGATTCGAGTGGAGGTTCACCATTGAATTTCTTTTAAAGTGTTCTACCTAACCCACCAATTTTCAAAAGGCAGCGACGAAATTAATATTTTTCCAAATTTGGCACGTAATGGGGGGTGTTTGTGTTTGATGACTTTAGACCTAAATTTGTTTTCTCGTCATCTCGGGAAAAAAAACTATTCGTCTGATTCGGAGTTTGGGTTGCGCCACCATTGGAATTTTCTCTTGAAAGTGTTTCTTAACCTATACCACCAATTTCAAAAAGGCAGCGACGGAAATTAATATTTTTCTAAATTTGGCACGTTTTAATTGAGGGGTTTTTGTGTTTGATGACTTTAGGACCTTTAAATTTGTTCTTCGGTTCTTTTATCTCCGGAAAAAAAAAACCTTTTAATCGTCTGATTTTGCGAGTATCCTCTCTTTTTCCTTTTTTCCTGGTGGTGGCGGAGGCAATCGCGGTCACGTTCGCGCCGGCGATCGCGCTCGAGATCCCGGCGGAGCTCGCGGCACTCGTCGAGTGCCGGGCGGGTCGCGGCCGAATCCAATATTCTTTCAGCATTGTGAGCTATTCGATAGCACAATTATCGATTTTCAGATGAATATTATTGTTTTTTGTAAACATGGTCATTATCCATTGTTTTTTGTAAACGTGGTCATTATTCAGTACATCATAGTAGCTAATATTTTACTAAAATTAATGACAATAAAACAAAACTAACTAATATATATGTTTTCAAACTGATTTTAGCAAATTTTCACTCACACTAGGCTTTGTTAATTGCTTTGAACAAAATTATCAAATCTGACTAAATTCAAGGCTTTGCAGCTAGAAATGGATATTTTTATTTTGTCGGATTTCATAACCCGCAGGACATTTTATAATATGTCAAAAATGGCTCTATATTTTTCTTTTTTTTCTGAAATACAGTGCGACGGAACATTCTGATATTCATTATAATCTTACTTTCTTAGGGATAAAAAAATTACATTTAATTCCCCCAATTCAAAAAGGTAACATAACAACAACCCTTGTGAAACTATCCAATTACAAAGAATACAACGTACTAGTGTAAGCACACGAAGTGTATTTTGAGGAATTGTACAGAAGCAAAAGTTTACAATTGAAATCTAAGAAAATGAGGCATTTTCTAAAGAAGCTGTTGCAGTCTAACGATAAAAATAATATCAAAATTGAACATGGATACAGAATAGAATTAAGTATCAATACTACTAAAGAGAAAGAGGCGACAAAGACGACTATAAAATGCTTGGATATCGTTGGCAGAAGGAATTGTTCCTGGTTGGGTACCCGGAAAAGAGACGTAATTATAGTAGACCGAAGGAAAGAAGAGACTTCGATAAAGAAGAAACTTTGATAATGAAGAGGAATTTGATGAAAGAAGTTTGAAAAAAATGGAAATTGCCGCGGATTAAATGTGACTGGAGTTAAGCAACTGCAAATCTTAACAATGTTTAGAAAACTCTAAACCATATGACCGGTTTTGGGTTTAGAAAGTAGACCAAAGTGATCGATTTTTCCCCCTTTTGTTCAAATCGATCTCTGTATCTTTCATCTACCAGATGAAATCTGAAGGATGCATGAGGATGAGGCACAGACAAACTGGCACAATGCTCGATTGATTGCAAAACTTGGTAGTGTCCTTTAAGTTTCAGATTTTCTTCTGACGGAGGATGAAAGAAAGCAACAGATCTGCATCCTGCATTAGTGGTTTACTAAAAAGTGTCCACTCAAGACACGCTTAAGAATGCTTATCATAAGACTTTCCAAATGAAATGCTCATTTCAACGTACACCATCGAAAACATTTGGTAAGAAATATGGTTAGTAATGAGCTAAGTGGTTAGTCTTTTATGTCTTAAAAAAGCAAAACAAGGCAAGTAACAACTGATAACTAAATAGAGAAGCATCAATGTAAATATAATTTATATTAATTTAAATACATAACATACTATTATACACATTGTGTATAATTTTTTCTTAAATTAGCAATTAAATAGCAGAAGTGGATATTTTTTATATTTTTTCAAGAGTAACATAGATTATGTTTTACTAATACGAAAACTGGTATAATTATTTAAGGACTTCAATTCCAAAAACAACTGACTTGTAGAACATGTATGTTAACCCATGGAAGCTGAAACATAGCTAACTATTACATCACTTAGTAATAGTAGTTGTTTACCATTGTACACCATAGTAAAAGTAGTTGTTTTTTATCACTGTTCAGTTTTAATATATTATTATTACATATTATTATTATTATTATTATTATTATTATTATTATTTGTGCCTCTGTATTTACCGATCATTGTTTGGAAACTGATCGATCATTAACTGCCCTCGCGTCAGTTCCCATCGCCCTCTGCGGCCGTCCACGTCCCCTCCCACGAACGGCCACGCTCCTGCTCCCACGCGAGAATTAGCTGCAACCGCAGCGCGCTCGTTACCAGAAATGGAGCAGCCACTGAATAGGGCCGCTTGAGAGCGCTGTCACACAAGCGGCGGCAAATACAAGACAAACGACGCGATGGAGAGCCCAATCGACAGAAGAAAGTTTGGAGAGCACCAAATAAAACGCGAAATTCTGTTGCTTTCTTTATTGCTATTAACGGCTATGAGTCATCAAAGTAAGAATAAAAAATAAAGTAAAGGATAAAAAGGATAACTAGAGGGAAGAACGTGCCCTCGGTTGGTTAACGTGCTCGCTTTTCACGGCGCAACCCCGGTTTCGATTCCCGGCCGCGGCAAAATAACTATGCGTTTATTTCCAAATGCCCCAGTATTTATTGCTGTGTGACTACCAACAAGCTCACTTCATGGTTAAGAAGACCAGTATATACGATGGAGGAATGTCTTCGTGCTTTCCACACAAACCCCTCATCCCAAAGCCGAGAGGCTGGGTCACCGCTGGTCGTCATTGGCGGGCTGTCGAGCCAAGAACAGAAAAGGGGGGAATAGAATATGATATAAGATAGAAGGAAAATGTAAATTAATTTATTGTCGTTTGTATAATTAAATATCGCAAATAACAAATACGCCAAAGAATAAATTCCGTGGTGGTAGCAGATAGGTAGCAGCCATCTTTTGGAATAGAAGAGTGATCCAGGTTGCTGGGGCAAGACCCACTGAGGTGTTTCCCGAAAGTTAACTCTGGGTAATAATTAATAAAATATTTTAAAACTTTTGTGGACGATTATTTCCATTACCATATTATGCCAATGGATAATACATGAAAGTAATGAAAGACGCTGCTTTAATATAAAGCTATGAGATAAGAACCCACGATAAAACATTTGAAAGAACCAAATGATTTTAAAGTTCATCGAAAACTCGAATTAGTAGCAGCAGCAATGACCAGAAGACACAGTAGCGCAGCATATTCACTTACGAAGAGGGAAGAGATAAAGCAGCACAAATAAAACATGGCACGGAACACGAAGAGGAAATACGAGAGTTCAGAATCCGGAAAAATAGTTACAAGAATTCGTTAAGTTCCAGCTCCCCTTCGGCATTTCCAAGGGGTGTAAAGAGAAGTAGCACCTTAAAGGAGAGGCAGGAGGAAGTCGGACGCGGCTGCGCGGAACAAAACGCCAAGGGAAGGGAATTCGCCACCTCAGCCCGCGCCCGCGCCCCGCCCCGCGCCCGCCCGCGCGCGCCAGCGCCCGCCGCGCCCCCGGCGCACCGCGCACCGGCCCACCCGCGCCTCGCCCGCGCTGCGTTTCCCGCCTGCCTGCCGCTTCGCCTCTCCGCCTACGCCTCTGCAGGGCGCTGGCTGCTGTGCCACCCAGGGCCTCGTCTTTTCCGCGCCCTCCGGTCCCGCCCCGTCCGCGCTCCGCCGCCTGAGTCCCCGCCTACCGCGCCCGGCCCGAGCCCTGCTGCCCTTCCGTCGCCCCGACCCACCTTCTCGGGGCTCTGTGGCTGTACCGGCCTTTTCCGCCCCGCCCCGTCCGCCCGAGCTGCTGCCTGCCCGCCTTTTCGCCGCCCGCGACCGTCTGCGGGGCGCTGGTGCGGTACGCCTAGGGCCTCGCCTTTTCCGCGCCCGCACCCCCTGCCCCCAGGGGCTTCCGGCCCCTTTTTATTAATGGCCGGCGGGGGCGGCGGCGGGGGTGGGGACGGGGGCGGGGTAAGACGCACGGCAAGTGTTTGCGCGAGTAATCCCGCCAGGGCCCTCGTCCGCCCCCTGCATCGCATTTAATAAATTAGCCCCACCCCGCCACAGCCGCTGCGCTCCGCGCCCCGCGCCCCGCCCGGCAGAGGGTGAGGGCGCGGCGAGCCCCGCCTTCGCCTCCGCCGCGGCCGTCTCTCCCCGCGCACCTTAATGAAACGTTGGTGCCGCCAGTGTCCCACTGACGCGCCGCGCGGTAGTTGACGGGCCTTTCAGGAAGATGCCTTGATAAGGACGCGATGGTGGCGCGGGCGTTGGCTGCGGCTGTCGTGGATGGTCTTTGATGAGGATGCAGCGCCTGTGCTGTCTTCGAAGAGGTTTCTTCGGGGAGGACGCCGTGGTGTCCGAGCCTGTGGTTGTGGCTGCCGTGTTTTTGACGAGGATTATTTAATGACAGTGGCTGCCATGTTTGACGAGGATTCTTTGATGAGGACGTAGTGTCTGTCCTGTCTTCGAAGAGGCTTCTTCGAGGAGGGCGCGGTGTAGCTGCGCTTGTGACTGCGTTGCCTTCGACAAGGATTCTTTGTTGACGTGGTGACGAGGGAGGCTGGCTTGTCTTCAACACTGCACGGTACTTCGCCGCGGGCAATGGAGGCTGTGGCGACAGGAGAGATAGTGAATCAAAATGTAATCAGTGCTGATGCGGATTTCGGTATTGGTTCTTTGATGTTGGTAGAGGTAGCGGTGGTTGTGACAGTGATGTTTGGTTAACATGGATCTCTGAGGAGAAGACTAGGGGAGAGTTCCGAGATGACGGAGTCAGCGAACTCGAAATGGCCGGGAGAACCGCAAAGGCGGGAGGAGAGAAATGAAACGACGGATGACTCACGGGTCGGTGTGAGTAACAATGAATGAGCAGTACGGATTCCAGAACTGGTTACAGTCTTTATACTGTTGAGGGGTGATGACGTTAGAGAGAGATAACTAAAGGAATGTCTGTTGGTGGAGGGCTCTGTAGTTATGGGTACATAACTAAGTGCATAAAACATAAGTGCATAAAAAGTATTTTTACATTGCCTTGCATTAAACGGTTGGAAGAACTCGGCCATTGACTTTACAACAATTCTAGAAATTATTCGCATATAAAGTATCTTTTAGGCTTGGTTTGTGATATTGTTACTCATGAAGTAATATACTTATACAATATTCATATTAACCCTAATAATTTCGTTTAGAAAAAAAATTAATACAAGTTCAGTGAGTGTTGTTATTCGAGTACCTCGCTTTGCGGAGAAATAATAGACAACCTATGAGTGTCTCGTAATTTTTGTTGTAATTCCAGTTCAGCCCCATACATTTTCTGTAACATCTACAAATAACTCCAAAGCCTCCTGAATTGCGAGAGCAGAAAACAAAATTTTTAAAAGTTAAACAATATGACCCTCAATTTCTTTAATAAGGGAGCTATTGCTTAATTAAATGCATCATGTTTTTCTTATATATTGAACAATAATATATGACTAATATCTAATGGAGGACCACTTTCGCAGTTTTTCATTGTAGAGAATTTTTAAGACACTCTCTCAATCGTTTGTTTTGGCTGAAAAGTGCGTTCACTATTTAGTTGACGCTTATCTTCCTGTGTTTATTGCATAAACCAGTTTACCGTCCGTGTCTTGGAGCTACGGTACGTTCAGTGTAAGAAGTGGGTTGCGGCGAAGAAAATGATGACGACGTCTCCTCCTCAGTAGATTTAATGCGGGCGCGTTCATTAAGACTGCTAGATAGCGATGAAAGGAAACCGCGGGGCAGAAATGCGGACACTTAGATCGAGGGGAGATTTAGTGCTGAAGGATAATGTATGCACCCTCTTCGCTGCTGCGATGTTATCTTGCTTTGGACATATTTTGCGAGAATATAACAAAGTGACTATCTGCACGTACATAATTACTTGGTCCGAGAAAGAATAATGTAAAATGATTTATTTCCTGGTTGGCTGCAAAGGACAGAGAAGTAATTGCGTTCTTGGAATGATTATGTCTCTTAGTAAATCATTTTGGTACAGCTGTCACCAACATAAGTCATTATGTTTTATTTTGTGATTCCAGGGGTTGTTTATTTTATGGTTTCCAGGCACCAAAACAATGGCATTTGTGGGAAAAGTTCTATACGCACCAAAATAATTTTGGAAAATACATTGTTGGAAAAAATTAGCCATTTTAAATATTTGGGCTACAACAGAACGTTCTTCACAGAAATGGAGATAGATGAAAAAAATCATAAACACCAGAATATGTGCGGAAACATTCGGCGAACTCTTAAAGATAAAACACGTAGAGATACTCTAATGATGATATATGAAGTAATACCTGTCCTGTCTTTGCTGTTCGGAAGTGAATGCTGTGAATGTGAAAGATGTACCAGACTAGATAATCTCAGAAATGAGGAAATTCGAAAAGAATTAATCGTTCAAACAAGCAATGACAAGGTACAATGTTACCGACAGGAGTGGTTACTACATGTGGAAAGAATGGAAGGGCAGGTGTTTAAGTATAGATCTCAAGGCACAAGAGATCCAGGTAGACCCCTAAAAACATGGAATTCTTAGAAGCGGGAACAGGTCATAGACCTATCCTTGAAATGGAGGAGAAGAAGATTTCAGATGTTTCAAGGGATATGAGCATTGGTTCCGTACGTGTAGTACATGTTACATTCCGAGAGGTGGTGGGCGTTTATTCCGCGCTAGAACGTGACATCTGTCGTTGGCCTACAGATCGGCTTGCGGTTCCGGTACCTTTTTTAGCGGGGCACCTTTCCACGGAATATGCTGTGAGCTCCCAACTGGGAGACCAGTCGGGAGAAAACAGGGGCATACCGCTGAAAATTGACGAAGTGTTAATACATTTATAATAAAATATAATAAATTAATAAAAAAGGATGATTTTTAACCACCAGCTTCAGTCAAACATATTAGGAGCCATCCATAAATTACGTGAGGCCTTTAGGGAGGGGGTGAAACGAACTAGCCACCATGTCAGTGACGCTCCTCGTCCCGAATACCCTAGATAACACAAACGAATCTCACCTAATCTTACGTGGGGGAAAGGGGGGAATCTCTGCAAATATCACGGACTTTTTCGCTGAAAACAGTGCTAAATTGCGAGAAATTAAGTAAATACGTTAATATTCTCAAATACGGTCAAATCTTTCACAATAAGTTATATAGCGGTTATGTGAATGATACAATAAGTAGTACAGTGAATGCTACAATAGTAGTAGTATTTTAAAAGGGCAGTATATTCATTGTAATTCAACCACTATTTTCTAAATACTAGTCATATGCAGTCTTAAATAAATACGATTAAGCAAGTTTTTATATATTTAAATTTTTTAAAATATATCCCAATGAAATCAATCAAAAATTAACGTATTTACATTAAAAATTCGCATCTTGAAAAATCTCACGTGAGATTAGAAGGGGGTAAGGAGTCGAGACAAAACTCACAACATCTCACAAAAGAAGTAGGTGGAGTAAAAAAGTCGCCAAAATCCATAATTTATGGACGGCCCCTTACCAACTAATATTGTACCCCAGGGATCAGAAATACACCGGCTTCGTATATCAAGGACGTAGCTACGTGATTCAACGCGTTGCTTTTCGATTACGAAATAGGACTGCTGCGCTGGTGCAACACCTGGACGAGATCATGAAGAATAAGGGTTTACAAGATACTAAAATTTATGTGAACGATGTAGACTTGCATTCGAAAAATTTTGAAGAACATTTCAAAGCAATGGAAAATGTAATGAAATTATTAATCAAGAATAATTTGGTTTTAAATATTGAATAATCACAATTTTTGTGTCCCTAAAATTAAATTTCTGGGATATGAAACAACCAGAAAAGGAATCAAGATGGGATCAGATGAAGTAAAAGAACACTGGATCGAACCTAGAAGACATTCAAAACGCTTTTACTCAGCTTTCCGCATTAGCTTGTGGTGACAATGCGAGCAGGCGCCTGCGATAGAAAATTCATAGTATTTCGACAATGCCAATTTTTAGCGGGAGCTACCCACATGAGCTGGTGCGATCTTTCGGAGACGCTTCGAACTAATAGAAAGAAGTTGACAATCGACTTCAAGAAACTTTGCACGAAGAAATGAATGTTTGATCAACAGAGAAGAAATTCGCGCGGTTTTTTGGAGAAAATTAAGACTAGCTCGGAGGCGCCAAGTTTAAAATGTATAATCCTTCCATTGAAACACCTTCAAAGAACATCAAATGCCCTGTTAAAAAAAACAAGGCGTCATATTTGAAGTAATTTGGCCGACAATGTGTCAACATATATTAAATGGAAAAACATAAGAGAGTCAATGAATCATACCACAGAGAGTGAATGAAAGCATAAGAGAGGCGAAATCGTTCCTTTAAAAGAGGTGGATGAAATAAAAAAAGTTTGGAATCCCAGGTCTAATGCCTCCACACCTAGACCACTCTCTGGCGGGGAGTGGAGCTCGCCCGCTGGGGCCGTGGGCGGCGCGCGGGAGTGGCCCGCCTTCCCAGGCACGCACGCGCAGCGCAGGAAATTTCTCGAGAGCGAGAAAGTTGCCGGCGGCTTCCCGCAATAACGTCGCCCCGAGTGACTACTTGTTGAGTCGTTAGCGCGACACGACTTTGACCGGCGCGCCGCTGTTGCCGCCGCCGCCGCTCCAAGTCCACGCAGTTGCACCCTCGCTCACCTCTGGTGCCGCAGCGAAGCGACCTAAGGCGTCGAGACGCCGCTGGCTTTTCAGTAGACCACCGCCAGAGGTGGCTCAGGGCATCAACTGACGCCACTGCTGTGCCTGTGACCGGCACGTCCTTCCGACGGCGGCAGGATTTTCGACACTAGCGTGTCAGCCACGTCGAATTCTGTCGCTCTGTGGAGAAGAATTCTAGCGGACGACTGCACTGATCGGATCGGTAGTATTTTACGATCAACACCAGGCAAATGTCGAAGAAATACCCTACCAAATGGACGACGGACCGCGATCTATTCTTCCCCTTCCTTGTTCTATCCTCATCATACACACTTACAAGCCGTACCCTACCGACGTGTCAGGAGACCGGTTGAGAGCTTAGAGATTGTCTCGGGGGGCGGTACTACGCTGGTGTGAGGTACCTGATTGGGGAAATCCTCGCTAGCCAACGTAGGTCGGCGCCGGATCTTGCCATCCAGTAGAGGAAGGCCACAGACACCTCCCGAGCAAAAAATGCTCTACACATACGGGACTAAAGACCTTAAGAGTTGACGGGTTTCCATCTGTTTAGCCCAAGGTTCCACCTGTAGACTTCGATATTCGAGCTTGAATACGCGACTTCTTGCAAGAGTGTTAGGTCTTATCGTGGCAATATTTTAATTTTTGTTAATTCAAAATCGGCTCAGATTTATAATATTTTGTTTGGAATTTGCAGCTGCTAAAATATGGCTCTGACAGATGTTTTTAAAAATAATTAGCTGCAGTCACACTAGTATTCATGCTTAAAGTTTTCTCTAATGAAGTGAACAATTCAATGTTTTCTGGCCGTAGTTTTTCACCTTTCAATTCGAGTGAATGAACTATGTTGTGAGCAATACGCGTTTTTGAAGTAATGTTATAATGAATTTTATAA